ATAAGGGATTTTTCCTTACAGCAAATAAATTGGAACATTAACCAGTAGTACCCAGTTGGAAAACACAGAAATTGGCTGTGTAACTTGTACAAATTCAAATTTTATGTCAAAATAACATAATCAGTTTAACTAAAATTATACTTTCTTTTGGGTGAATTCTGTTTTGAATAAAAACACTAGTATTTTTTTCATATGAGACATAAGAGATTGAGCTGCCTGCTCTTTCTATTTTTCAGCTTATTGAAGCCACTTGCACACTCAAGGCATCTAGTGTTTCTTTAGGAACTTTTCAGTAGAGACTGCAATTCACTAAGAGCTGCTGGGACTAGCATTGTTTAATGTGTGGTTTAAATTTTATCTCACTTATAGAGTCAGGATATGCTACTAATCCATGACTTAAAATCTGACAGCTTTATCGAGCATCATTACAGCTGGTGTTTTTCACTCTGTTAATCTCACTCATCTCTGACTTCCTACATAATAACTGGAAAAGACATTAGGAGTGACATATTTATGTGTGTGGACACGGTTGATCAATCCATCTAGGCGGTGGGGAATGCTGACTTAGGCACACTAGGTAAATAATTTGAAGGCTGTAAACGGAATTGGGAAGGGTCTGCAAAATAGAGCACTGAATTTTATAATCTAGAATGGTTCCTGTATCACAAACAGATGTGGAAGAATTGGGGTAATCACATGAGGATCCTTGGTAGCAAGTCCCTTATTTTGTTCAGCTGTTAAAATTGTATTGAAAATGTATTTTCCAAATATTAGTTGTTACTGAGAAAGAGACGTGCAAGAGAGAAAGATAGACAGGAAGGAAGAAAGGTAGGAAGGAAGGAAGGGAGGGAGGGAGGGAGGGAGGGAGGGAAAGAAAGGAAGAAGGGAAGAAGGGAGGGAAAGAAGGAAAGGAGGGGAAGGGAGGGGAAGGGAGAGGAAAGAGAAAAAGACAAAAAGAAAGAGAAAAAAAGCAATACAGCAACAATTGTTGAATTATTATTACTTTAGTGAAATTTTGTATTGTTTCTAATGCTTTTTATTACTATTATATATACTCTGGTTTCTCTTCAGATCATATAAATCTTTTGCCTTTTATTACTCTTATATATTTTTAATTTTTTTAAAAAAAGAAAGTGAACATAAAAAAAAACTTCAGTTTTTAATTCGAATGATTATGACATGCTTACTTTGTAGCAGGCATCTTTGAGAACTCGTTATAATGTATTAGTTTCCTGAATCTCCCACTGGCATGATCCGTTGGGTGCTATATTTTCATCTGCATTTTAGTTAACAGGCTTTCTGAGGCACAAAAGGAAGAGGGACTCGTCAGCAGGAATCAGCAGTGACTAGCGGTAGAGCTGGGTGACAAGCTAGGACACCTGCTCGGAGTCCACGGTTGCAAGCACACCAACAAAACTAATTTTGGTGGCAAAATTTTGGACAAGACACACTTGGGATTATATTTTAAGGTTTCACAGGGACAGATGCTGGGAAATGGAGTGGCTCTGCACTTGCTGCAGGTGTGTGACTGGCTGCTTCGTTGGATTTTAACACAGGTTTTATGTCTCAGTTTATGTAAGAGAGTGGATCAGCTCTGTCCTGGGAACTGAGCGAGTAGAAGACTGCTTATCCACGTCGTCAAATCTGTTTGTAAATAAATAAGTGAGCTGTTGTAACAGCCTTATGCGTGTAGACAAAAACAAGCGTCACTATAATTTAAAGTCCCACCCTCAGACCTTTGCATGAAAGGCAGATGACTGTGTATCCCACGTGTGCAGCTAATGCTGAATGCAAGCGTAATAGTGATAAATCAGTAGACCTAGAAATCTGTATAAGTTACATTCATAAATATTAAAATGTTACTGAATTTTTAAGGCCAAGCACATATACAATAAATCAAAGAGAAAAATGCTTAAATACTACAAAATTCTTCACAGTTTCTGGAACTTTAGCAAGTACTAAAGTTGTACAAAAAAAGCTTTGGTTCAGCCTCACCGCTTGGAAAGATAGGTCAATAAATTATCATAATTTCTGGTTTCCTTTTCCTATATTTTAAAATTAAGTGTCATGCTCCAAGTTAACCGGCAAGTGAAAACAAAAGGTTCTTAAAGGCTTTCAAAATACAGTATGTGAAACAAAGAATCCTAAAGTCTAATTTATATTATTACATCCCAAAGTTTTCCTAATTTTTATTCTAATGTCTTTGTTACTTTCCTCTTATTGCTGAGACAAAATACCTGACACCCGAGATTAAAGGAGGAAAGGTTTACTTAGCTCACAGCTTGTGGAGGCATCAGTCCATACTCGGCTGGCTCCAAGGCAGGGTGACACAAGCAGAAGGACAACAGCTCATGGAGGTGGAAGACAGGAAAAGTCACTAGAAAGCAGAGAAACCAGCTTGTTTCTGTCCCTTATGTTGCATTCAGGATACATACCCTATGGCATGTGTAACACTCATAGCCTTAGTGTCATTAATAGGCCACCAATTGGTCCCAAACTCTAGATTCAGCTACCTCTGAAAATTCCACCTCCCTGACCACATAAGGCTTGGGGGACATCCAGACATCAAACAGTGTATCCCATAACATTCTCTATCATTTACATTCTAATTTTATCATTACATAATATTCCAATATGTTATTCCCTTTTATTTTTGTACACCATAATTTAGTTACTCAATCAATATGATCTATCTTGCAAATACAGGCTCAATTTTCCTTAACTAAAGGACTGGGACCAGAAATATTTCCAATTTAGGATGTTTCTTGGACTTTAGAATATTTGTATACCCATAAAGTGATATCTTGTAAGTGAAGTCAAAACAAAAAAAAATGTGATTATGTTTCATATACAGATAGCCTGAAAGTAATTTCATGGAATACTTTTATTGCACCTGTGTCCTGACTGTGAATTCTCTTATGACTTAAGGTGTGGAAACTTCCATTTATAGCATTATGTTTGTAATTGAAAGCTTTGTAATTTACACTTCAGATTTCATACCTTTAGAATAAGGATACTTAACCTACACCTGCCTCCCACTGGAGGCTGTTTGTCCCTCTTGTGTTTATTTGTCCTTTCTGTCTTCTTTCTCCCCTGCCAAGCTTACATGTTCCACAAGGTCAAACCTAGTATATTCTCCTTTAATCTGTACCCCATCTTAGTTACTCTTTTCTCGTTGCTGGAACAAATACCCGAAACCCAAAATGAAGCAGAGAAAGGTTTATTTAGCTACAGTTAATGGAGGCTTCAGTCCATACTTAGTTGGCCCCAAGGCAGAGTGGCACATGGCAGAAAGCAAGAGGAAGGCCAACAACTTAGGCAGCTGGCTAGCCTCTTTCCCTTCCTTACATGGAAATGCAAATTACCTGTCCCAAGGTAAGTGCAGAATCCACACCTACAATAATCAATCACAAACTTCAGAAGCCACCCCATGACTGCATGAGACTTTTGTGGGGGACATGCCTATACACAAAACATAATACTTCCCAAGGGAGAATCATTGTATTCTTTTGAGTTCTCTTACTTTCTCATGAGTTCCCATCTCACTTCTCCTTCACCCCCATTGTACACAAGTTCACGCTTTCTTCATGAGAGAACATTTATTTCAATTTAAGTCAATGAATGAGTGAATGAATGAATGAATATACCTGAAATCACATAAAAAGTTGATGACCAGTGCAATCATGTGCAGAGCACAAAATAATTTTTATGTTTAAAAAAAATGAGACAGTCACTGAGGATGTTTGGATTTGAATAAAAGATATGTAGAGGCTGCTCTTGACTGTGTGGAAGATATTATGCTCTGGCATCCTTTGTCAACATACCACCCCAGATACTTCCTACACACGTCACGTAAATCTATGAGCTAGAAATCTCATAAAGTTATTAATACACAAATGGACAGGACAATATATAATATTTATTATTTTCTACCTGCTACAGAGAAACCCATGGTGCAAATGTAGGGGAAAGATAAAAACAATGAGAAATGTTTCTCCAGATTAAAATCAGTTCAAGCAGAAAACACATTCTTTTTGGGGTCTCATACTACTAACAAACCAGACCTCGAGTCTCCAAAACCTCTGCCCATTGGTCTTGGACACCTAGAACTTTTCAGAGGAAGGCATCAGAGTAACAGCAGTGTGTGAAGAGAAGCTAAAAGAGACTAAAAGGCTCTTTCCTTCTTAAGAATTACTACCGTGGCCTTCAAACCCTAATGTCTTTGTGGTCTTTGAGAAATGAAAACATGATTTGGCTATGAAGGGGTGCTTCTTGATTCTGCCGCTTTGAGAGACTGAAAGGTTTAGGGCATGACTTTATTCAGATCTTAACTTCCCAAATTAGCCTCAAAAATTCACATATAATGTCATTTCTTTTACTGGCATGGTCTTCTTCACTAGCCAACATGCTCCTTCTTGCACAGAAACCCCTTAATTGGTGTGCAAGAACTGCTAGATAAGACCTTATGTACTTCTTTATATGCTTTTCTCTTTACGTAAGATCATAGTGAGTTTCCTGTGTGTTTTTGCAATGCCTTCTTCAAACATGGAGCTAGTTTGGTCATCATTGTCATTGTGAATTTGGTAGTCCTTTGTCTTACTCTTGGTATTTTGAAAGGGACTCTGAAAGGTAAGTAATTCCTAGTCTTGTCTGGTTTTATCTTGACCACTAAGTACTAATATATGAGTCTTAGAAACAAATGCTTCTCCCTATATTTTTCCTTGACAAAAGGATTTACAGTGCAATTTCTAGTGCATAGTCACTCATGCCACAGGCTCTGAAACAGCACTTGTTTTGACTTATGATATTGTGGGACCATACAAATTCTTCCCAAGAGACCTGTAAAGCATCCTTAGCTACCTATTGTCAAAGACATCACTCTTCACCAATATACACTGTCCGTGTTTCAGCTCTTTGCTGACCTGGACCACGGCCTCTAGGATCCTCCTTCTGGCTGGTGCAGAGTTGGTGCTATCCCTTTTGTTTGTTTTGCTTCTCAGTAACCTCAGATGACGGTCCTTTTATGGATTTTGGCTTTCGAGTTGATATTGAAGAGAAAGGATTCTACACAGAGAACTTTCACTCAGCAGCATGGGTTTTCAGAGGCGACGATGGAGATCCTGAAGACAGCCCCCGGTGTCTTAGTAAGAAGCCACGGCCAGTAGCTGGTAAGGATGCTACAAACACATTACAATAGGTATGCATTAAAGCATCTCTAGCTGGACTCCATGCAGGGCTCCGAAGTTGTCAAACTGGAATCCTGGGTGCAGTTTGGGGAAAAATTATATTTTGTAATTATATATTTACAATATATAATTATATATTATATATAGTATGTATGTATAATCTCTTGATATTTTGAGGGAATATGAACCAATTATGATCAAGCTCATTAAGTACATTTTAGTCCAATCTTTGCAGAAAAAGATGAAAAGGTAAAAACCTTCATGAGCTTTTGCTTGATTGGTATAAATAAACTTAATAAATAATTTAGCTCAAGCAAAGCTTTGGGTTGAAAATAATATCTTAATGCCATCATGCATTCAATAAGCATCATACCTACTATGGTCAAGTCATGTGGGGGGAGATGCTGAAGAAACAAACGGAGAAGAAAGTTTTAAAAGTATGTCAGATTATACAAAAAGGCACATAATAATTTCAGAACACGCATGAAAATGTGCTGCACTGATGCAGACAAAATTTGATCATCGTGCATAATGTTCTTTTTTTTTATCTGTATGATAAAATGAAGACTTTCTTAGTTTTTTTTTTCTTATAAATGCTATGAAATCCAACAGTGGAGTAATTTAATGAGGAGAAATTGAAAATATGAATTAGTTTTTATACACACATGCATAGAAGAATGCGAGGATTTATTTTCATGTTAAGAAAACTTGTGTTAGCTCTCTTGTGAGAAAGAACCAGTACTAGGCACCCACAATTTAAAGGAGGAGAGATTTCATGGGGTTCATGACTTCAAGAAATTCAGTTGCCTTTGCCTGGCACCAAGGTGGGGACATCATGGTGGGAGGGTTCAGTGGATCAGAGCCACTCGGTTCATGGCGGCCAGGAAGCAAAGCAGGAGGGGAAGGGGCATGAGGAGCAGCCAACTCCACACGCCTGTGACCCAGCCACACACCCAGGAGCACACTTTACTCATCGGCTAGGCTGTTCCTAATCCAGCAGAGCTGACAGATCAGGATTAATGTCACAATTCTTACCTACATAAATATTGTAGCATAAACAGGTTAAATAATCACCACTAAAAAATAAGCACAGGACTCTGAATCCAGAACTTAAAGAATGAAAACACTTCATTTAAAATTTGTGAAAACTAAGGTACTTGGGGAGACATGAAATTCTAGTGAATCAAAATCATCAGATCTGAGGTAGGACATTATACTTATTACCAGAAATACTCAAGGGTACATTAAAAATGTTGTAAAAAAAAAAAAACTCATATTGTATTCTAACCAAAATAAAATAAATCAGAATAGCAAAAAGATAACACTTAAGCTTTATGAATAGCCTTAAAATGACAAAAATTCTAAATTTAACTTTTACTTGAGTATTACTATAGGGAAAAAGCATCAGGGAGAAAGTAAGATTCTTAGTGTCAGGATCTTACTATCTTTTTTTTTTTTTTCAAAGTTTTATTGACAAACAGATAGCAATGAGACAATTTCAAATCAAATCGGAAGGACAGTTTCAACAAATAATACACTGCATATATTCTTCTTAGTGGTTAATTGCTGTACAAGATGCGGACTTGTGATCCCATTT